CAGTCGGATTTGCTCATCTTTTGCTTCTACTGTGTGTTGATTGGCTAACAGAAAATGTTATATACCTGCGTTTATCAGATTTTCAGTGTATTATTAAAAAAAAATGTTAAGAATACCCTTGAAATATTTTATATTAAACTTTAAAAATATTTTGTTTGATATTTGATAAATAAAGTAAGTTAATTAATATAATACTTATTTATGATATGATTAATTTTAAATTATGATACATATGAGCAAATAATTTTTTAATAATTATACTAATTAATAAATTAATAATTTAAATATTATTTTAAAAAAATTTAAAATTTAACTACCATATTACATATTTTATTATAATTAAAGAATTGTTTATGATATTATACGTAGGTGAATTTAGGGCAGGGGTCGTGGCTTTCCCAAAAAAAATTTTGATACCCTTATAATTATTGTTTTGGCACTGTTTTGATGTTATTATTTTCATTCTTAACCCTTTTCTAATTTAATTTACTATTGATTTGATACTGACTTCGTCTCTGATATTATCTCTAAAAAAATTACCCTTTCACATTTTCAACAACTAAAATTTCCATAAATTATTTCACAATGTTTGCTATTTTTAATGAAATTTAGGGCTTACGTCCTATTATAATAAAAAATTATACAAAAATTTATCACTTATAAATATAAATTTTATATAATCTTAAATTATATTTAATTAATTATAATATAATCATAAATGATACAGTTTCGGCTAATAGGAAATTAATTAGGACAACCAACGATCTTTTCTAAAACGAAGGAATAATATTCAATAGTGAACCCGTCATTGTTATATCATTTTCAATGCAAAATTTGAAAAATCAAGGGGACATTAGATTGGAGTCGTCAGTGTCCTTTGGCCTAACTCTTAATGTGAGCATGTGACTACTACTGTTCACTGAAAAAGAAAAAACGAAGTTCATGTTTTGTCTTGTATCATCGACAATTTAGCATAATTTTATTAGAATCTATATTTTTCATGAAAGATGTTACATATTAACTTCATACATAAGTTATCTTTTTATTTTTAGAGAATTTTGTTATTTATTTGATTGTACAACTCCATAAATTGATTTAATTTTTTTTACTTGTAAATTAAAATTTTACAATTATCTAAACAAATATTTAAATAAAAAAATATTTAATTCCAACAATTATCAATTTGATATTAGAATTGTAGCTTGGTTGTCTATATGAATCTTTGCTGGCTCTGCCATGAAAAATAGGATTATTTGATATTAGAATTTTAGCTTGGTTGTCTATATGAATCTGTGCTGGCTCTTTCTCTTCCATGTGCAAGTCTGTAAGTATCTTCTTGAGCCAAAGTACTTGATTTACAACTACAGTGGCTGCAACATACTCAGCCTTAGCTGTGTTTTGAGTTATCACTTTTTGCTTCTTTGAGCACCAGAAGAACATCTTTCATCCATAGCTAAAACAAAAACCTGTTATCCTTTTCATGTTATCAACTAAATCGGCCCAATCATTATCAGAATAACTATGGAGTTTAAAATCCTGACAGTAAAAATATTTGATACCATAATTTACTGTGCTTTTAATATATCTGACAATTCTTTTAGTAGCTTAAAAGTGCACTTCATTGGCATAATGCATGAATCGTAAGAGCAAACTCATTGCAAACATAATGTTTAGGTCAGTGGTAAAAAGATACATCAAACAACCAATCAAACTTCTGTATTGATCTTCATCAAGTTTGTTTAATCTATCATCCTTGCTAAATTTCTCCTTCTAATTCATTGGGGTATTTGCACATTTGCAGTCCTTCATATAAAATTTCTTAAGTATTTTTCCAACATATTTCTTTCGGTATATGAAGACTCTATCTTGATTTTGCTTCACATCCATTCTTAAAAAATAAGACATCAAACCAACATCTGTCATCTTAAATACTTTGAGCATTTCGGTCTTAAACTCTTTTATTAGCTCTTCATCACTTCCTGTCACAAGCATGTCATCAATATAAATAGAAACTATGATCATATTTGCATCAATTTCTTTTACATACAATGTAGCTTCACTCAAGTTTTTACCAAAACCAAAACCTAGTAGGTATTTATCAATCTTATTGTACCAGGCCTTGAGAGTTTATTTAAGGCCATACAAGGCCTTTTTTAACAAGTAGACCTTTTCCTTTTGTCCTTTCACTTGGAAACCTTCTAGCTGCTTAACAAAGATCTTTTCATGTAAATAACCATTTAAAAATGTAGATTTTACATGCAATTGGTAGACCTTCCATCCTTTTTATGCTGTCAAGGTAAGAAGTATTCTAATTGTATCAATTTATACTATTGGAGCAAAAGTTTCAGAAAAATCAACTTTAAACACTTGAGCATACCTATTCCATAACTAATTTGGCTTTATATTTGTTTATAGAACCATCCGCATTAAGTTTGGTTCTATAAACCCATTTGACACCTATAGGCTTTTTGTGTTGAGGTCTATCCAGCAACTCCCAAGTGTTATTCATTTCAATCATTCTAAGCTCTTCCTTCATTGCTTCAATCCACTTGTCATCTTTTTTTGTCTCTTTAAACTTTGTAGGTTTAAAAATAACAATGTCAAACTTTTCATAAATATCAGACAATGACCTTGTACCTTTGACTGGTGCATCATTTATGTCATTCTCAAGATTTTGCTGAAACTTTGGGTGTTGTTATTTTTGTCATTCATTTTAGTTTCATTGTTTATCCTACATAAACGTAACATCTCTGCTCATAATTATTTTTTTGTTTTGTGATTAAAAAATTTTGTAAACCTTAGATGAGCTGCTATATCCAACAAAGACTCCCGGTTTGCCTTCTTATCTAGTTTGTCTCATTTTACCTATGGCATATAAGAAAAACATAGGCAACCAAAGGTTTTTAGATGTTGTAAGTCTGGCTTATATCTAAACCATGCTTCAAATGGAGTTCTCTTATGTAGAATTTTGGTTGATAGTCTGTTTAGTAGAAAGACTACTGTGTTTATAGCTTTTACCTATAATTTCTTCGACAGCTCTTTTTCATATAGTATACACCTTGTCACTTTCATTATAGTTTTGTTTTTCCTTTCATTTACTCCATTCTGCTATGGAGTATATGGTGCTATAAATTAATGTTCAATATCAATTTTTTTGTAAAATTTGTTAAACCTATAAGAAGTATCTTCCTTCCCATTATCTGACCTTATTACTTATATTTTGCAACCACTTTGATTCTTCACTCATACTTTAAATTTTTAAAATACACTAGCAACCTCATATTAGAATTTAACAAAAAATAAATTCAATAGAATATTGTATAATCATCAATAAATACAATATAATACTTATTGCCATTTAAAAATGATGTTTTCTGAGGCCTTCGTACATCTGTGTGAACCAATTAAAGCTTATGTGTTGCTTTTCATGCAATTTAAAGAAAAAGACTTCTAACTTGTTCGTCATATTGACAAGTTACATAATCTACCATATTCTCTTCTAGCAATGGCATTCTTTTCATCGGATCGTGTTTTTACATATAAAAAAGTCCAACATAATGAAAATGCTCAAGCCTTTTGTGTCATAATTTTGCATAGCTTGTGTTACATGAAAATGCTATTTGCTTCTCTTTCATTAGATTTAGAGTAAAGTTTTTTCTTTTTCTTTTTATCTTAAATGTATCTATGCCTTATGCATTTTTTATCTTGCACCATTTGTCTTCGAATGATATTTTGAAACCTTTTTCAAGTGTTGTCTAACATTAAGCATGTTTTGATCAATGTCAGGCACATATAAAACACTAATAATGTATTTCAAACCTATTTGGCTCTCTATAACCACTATTCTTTTGCCTTTGATTGTAATGTATTCACCATTTTTAATCTTGACTTTGAAAATGTTAGTTTTATCAAGTTTTTTAAAAAGCTCTTAATCATTTGTCATGTGGTTTGTACAACCACTATCAATAAGCCAAGAGTCATTAAAACTGTTGTTCGTTGCAAAGCTTTTTACAATAAACAACTGCTCTTTATAATATTGTTTAGTTGTGATATTTGTTTCTTTTTCATATTTATGTGACTTGCAAATCTTTTTTATGTGCCCAATTTGATCATATTTTTTTGCATTGAATATCTGGTCTCCACTAGCACTTCTTCTGTAATGATTGGTCTTCTTATAGTGTAGATAAGGTGGATAAGTTTTACCCTTATTTTTGTTGTTACCTGCATTATTGCCAGGCTTGTTGTTGTTCTGCTTTCTATTTTTTCCTCATTCTGAATTTTATGCCTTTGCTTGAAAAGCACCATTCATAGAATTCTCTTGTCTCATCATCCTTTTTTACTTTTATGCCTACAATGCATTCATCAACTCTACCAAAGAAATGTTTGATTGATCCTTTGACTCTTCTAAAGAAAAAATTTTAGCTTCATATTTCTTAAATAATGTAACCAGAATTTTATGCACAATTCTCTCATAAAATTTTTTTTATCAAATGGTCTCACCTTATTTATAATACTAAGTAGCTTGTCAACGTACTCTTTGATGGATTTTGACTCTTTCTTTCTTTGCATCTTGAATTTTTTGATTAAAATCAGCATCTGCATATTTTTTATCCTTTTATTGCTTAGGTCTTCCTTTTTGAGATACTTTTAGATCTCTTTTACTGATTGTAGGTTTATGATTCTGGTAAATATTGTGCTTGAAACTACATAATATAAATAAGCTTTTGCTTTTAACTTTCTAGTCCTTTTTTCTTTATGATTCTTGAGCTGAGCAATTGTTGGATTAATAGGTACTGTAAGAATTTCATAGTCATCATTCACTACTTCTTATAGATCCAAAGCATCCAAATAAACTACCATTCTAACAGCCAGGCTTGATGGTTGTCACTATCAAAGATTGGTGGTTCAACTGAGAATGTTTATCTAACTCCATTTGATTAAGGGTTTTGTATGTTACTGTGTTTGTATAGAGGAAACCATTAGAAGTAAATTGAAAACAAGAACTTATTCAACATTTGCAACAAACATAAATCTGGAAGAGGCAGCGCCCATTGACCAGGAACCTGATTCTTGCATTATTTGCCAGGTAATTAAGAGTGCTTATAGCTAGCATTTTCTTTTATTGAAGAGCTTAAAATGCACATCTCTTTCTTTGTTTTATTAGACATTTCTCTTGGAATTTTGCAGGAGGATTATAAGAACCAAGAGAAAATCGGAAGTCTTGATTGCGGACACGAGTATCATGCGGGTTGCTTAAGGAAGTGGCTGCTTGTGAAGAATGTATGTCCTATCTGCAAATCTGAGGCATTAGCCACAGCGTCCAAGGATGTATAAAACATGGGGTGAGTTTATCCAGCAAAGGTAATAAATTACATAAAATGGTTGATGGTGGCAGAATCAATCAGGGGAAGCTCTCCCAGATGTCTTATGATTAATCTGTTTACTATAAACTAAATTGATATTTTGTCGAATATTTTGTACATGGAACTTGCAGATATCTAACAGACAGTCAATCATTTATTCTGTTGGCTCTGTAATTATCAACAATTGTACAGACTCTCATTATGCAGTCTCATGCTGTAATATTGACTTTCAACTATAATGTGTTTTTCATTTCTTTTTCTTTTTCAAAGTAATTCTGTCAAGCATCAATCATTTGAGAACCCACTCGGCAATATCTTTTCCATGGTGCAAGCAACAACGGTTTCATGCACTTTTGCCTTTTGAGGGATGCATAAAAAATGGGTAAATGGAGTAGATATAATAGTTTGTTTTGAAGGAAACAATGATGATAAACCCTGACCTTATTGATTGCATTATTTCGGGCGGAATTTAGACGTTAGATTGACATATTTATTAAAAAAAATTAATTTATATGTCAATGGATTGTATGATTCAGATTTATTATTTAACGTGTTCTACGAGGGAAACAGCCATTAAAAATTAAGAATATGATCCGACAAGATACATGGTTTACATTTCTTATGGTTCATGGTGCTCGTGTCTAGGACGGTATTAGTTTTCGTACTGTATCGGATCAACTATAATTTATTAATAATTTTTTAAAATTTTATAGTTTTTTGAATAATATTTTTAATTATATATAAAAAATAATATATAAAATTAATACATGAATCATATAATTTATATGATTCGAAAAAATATTTGTAATTATCAGTAAAAATTAAAAGAATTCATCAAATTAATATGTGAAAATTACTCAATATTAATTTTATATTTGTAAATTCTAAAAAACATGGATATCATGTCATTATTTTATTATTTGTTTTTTTTCATATGATAATTCATTTATATCATGTTTTTTTGTCTTATTTTTGATTTGTTCATAATTAAACTAAGTAATATACATTTTATATTTTTTAGAAAATAATAATTAAAAATAAAAATTATAATTTTATCGATTAATAGTTTAAATATTTTATAAGTAAATTATATGATACAATTTAATTTCTATAAATTACTAATATAAAATATAAAAAAAATTATCATATAATAAAAATAATATAAAATTCAAATGAGTATCAACGGATTAAACTCATTTATGACAAAAGGGCCTTGTCCGCCTGAATCAAAGGTGACAATTAGCATTACTTTTGATTAAACCCTAAACCACAATTAGCATTACTTACATATTTGAAAAGGTGACAATTAATTCGAACTGCTACCTTATTTGAAGGTTTCATTTTGAATGATCGGTAAACAATTTTTTTTATTATATCATCATATTATTTTCAGATTGAGTCTTTAAATTTTAAATTTGGTAAAATACGAATCACAGTTTATCTTTAGCAATAAAATTTTTCAAGTAATTTACAGCGACGACTGTGTAGTGTGCTAGTTTTTACTTGCGTTACTGGTTCCCTCTAAAATTGAAAACTTCTTCCATTTAAAGCGTCTAAAGGGGAGAGTTTTAAATAAGGGCAACAGATTAGAAATAATGAAGGTGATGTAATAATAAAAGTACTTACTAAAAAAATTGATGAGTTTTAATATTGTTAAAAAATTTTTTAGAATCTATTATTTTATTTTTTATTTTGATTAAAATTAATTTAAAATCAACTCATTTAAAAAGAAAAATATAACATTTAATTTAAACCTATCTAGAGATTGGATTTGGACATAACTTTTTAAGTTTGAGTTGATCTAAGCTTAACTCATGAAAGTATTTTATATTAAATAATTAATTTTTATTTAAATATATATATTTAAAAATAATGGAGAATTCCATAAATTTAATAGTTAGATTTTTATAAGCTAAAGGTTAAAAAATGTCCTTAAATTATAATTCAATAATCATTTGAGCCTTTAATATTTTATTATAATTAATCAAACTCTTAATTTTTTTATATCAACTCAATTGAACTTTTAATTAGATGAAATTTAATCATGCAAAAAAAATTAAATCAAGTAATTCCCAATTCACAATCAATTAAACTCTTGGAAAGATCTTAGAAAAAAAGTGGGAGAGAAAATAAAGAAAAAAACGAAAAAGAAAAAGAAAAAGATTTTATTTTACTTTGTTTTCACATATATTAACTACGTAATAGCAAATTTTTATCTATTTTATAGATGACATATAAAATTTTATTTTAATTGAAAAAAATTAACTGTGATAACTTTTTCATTCAAATAAAAATTCAATTAGATGCAAATAAATATTAAAGAATTGATTGATTATAATAAAAATAATAAATATTTAGATTTTTTTAATTATAATTCAGGAATTTTGTATATCCTTTAACCATTCTTATATATATCAGTTGGATGCTTTATTTTATTTTCTTAAAAAAATTAAGAAAAAGGAGGCATTAGATTATATTGGTTATACCCTTTATCAATTCTTATATAAATTGGATGCTTTTTTTTTCCTTTTTAAAAAAGGAGACATTATATTATATATATATATATATATATATACATTTTTATTACATCAGGAGAGTAAAACCCTAGTATATATAAAGGGGAGAAGGAATGCTTGATTTGAAATCAGATTCTTAATGTCTCCTTAAGCACCTTTAACCACTAAACCAAAAGCTTTGGGCATTATATTATATTTGTATATTTCCGTTGGCTCAATCCTATAATTAGACATGTAATAATGTGACAACTATTACTCCTGCCAAAAGAAAAAAACACTTTTGTCTTATATCTTTAACAATTATTATAATACAATCAATCGAACATAATTTAAAATTATATACATTTAATATGAAATTGACATTTATATATAGATGATCTTACTACTACTTATAAAAGTAATGAAAATTAAATAAAAAGCAAAAAATTTCTCTTCTTTATTATTTGTGAGAGAAGACTTGAACCAAAGCTGGTTAATCTAGCCAAAAAATTATGTTTTAAGCAAATAATTATTTCATTTAATTATTTCATGTGGTTATATATCGAGCAAATCATTATTATTTTTTATTTTTTTAGATGTCCTAAAATTATATTCTTTTTCTTTTTTTGAAGATCTAAAATTTTATTTTTTTATTTTTTTTACTTTTTAATATTAAAAATTATGAAATTTTAATTCTATAAAAATAATTTTAATTTTAATATTAAATACATTAAAATCAAAACTTTTTTTTTTAATTTCATAAAAATTAATATAACCAAACATTTTGAGATGGAGGGGCTTTTTCAATTACAAGGCAATGTTTCATGCGCTGCGAAAAATTTCGACTTGCAAGAGATTTATTTATTTATTTTTTATAAAAGAGCTGGAGGAGATATTAGCATGGAAAATAATAGAATCATTGAGTGGATATAAATCATTCCTTATCACCTACCACTGTTAAATAATTTAGAAATTAATACATATTTTGAAGTAATATCAGACTATTTATCCTAAAGCAACCAAATACAACAAATTTTCATTTTGAAGCTAAGCGATACAACATTATGGAAGGAAGAACACCACTTGAAGATGGAGGAAAAAGAATTTAAAGCAAACCCCATGATCCATATTCAACATCACTTACATAATTCAAGATCAGTCTCAAAGGACCTTTACTTTATTATAATCTTGCCTTTATTAAAGTCCTATAAGATTTAAGACTTGGGGAAATTAACATTCTATTTGAGAAGATTTTGCAAATCTCGGATGAAATTGTTGATATATTCTTCTTGAAGATCTCTGTTAGAAAGTAGTTGCTTCAGCTTGGCATGGTTTCTCTTCAAGAGGCTAGCCATTTCATTGTCCTTGTCCATCACCAACTTGATGGCTTTACTCAAGGATTCCTTCGGAATCTGCCTGTTTTTTCCTCTCTCTACTTCAACCGCAATCCTGAGTTCTTCTACCATCAATCTGGTGTTGAGAATTTGATCTGGGATTTCAGGAATCAACACAATTTGACAGTCACTGAACAAAAACTCCCACATTGTTCCATAACCACAGTGATTCACGAAACACCCAATGGATGGGTGCCTTAGTAGCAGCTCTTGAGGAACCCAACCACCATGCACCAAGCCTCTTCCTCGAACCCTCTCCTGAAACCCCTCAGGCAACGCCTCTTCGATCGTTAAGCACCCTTGTGGTGGTTTCAAAGCTACAAGAAAAGGTAGCCCAGATAGCTCAAACCCTAGAAGCAATTCTTGGAACTCATCCTTTTCTAACATACTCTGGCTTCCAAATGAGCAGAATACGACAGAACTTGGCTCAAACTTGTTTAGCCAATTAGCCCATTTATCTTCAAGCTGCTGGGTCTGTGTTTCAGGCAAGCAAGGCCCTGACAGCAAAACTGACTTACCAAATCTTTGAGCAACATAATCACAAAATGGCCCCTCAATTTCACGGTAAGTCCTGAAGGCTATGGCATCCCTTTCTTTCACGCAAGTTCTTATACGATCCTGAAATGACAACCCAATTCCGAAATCTTCAGCAATAAACAATAGTGCAGCAACCTCTTCAGCTTTGATTCTCACTTTGGAAGAAGGATATCCAGGAGGTAATTGTATCAACTCATCTACACTCATTTCCTTTGCTATTTTCCTGCCGGCTAGGCCGCAGGGCATTGAGGAAACCACTTCATAGCATATGGACTTAATCCCAATTTGGCGAGCCAAGGCTGGAATCCAGTGCCCGAAATCACAGAAAACCATATCAGGTTTTGTAACCTTTAAGACGGCTTCAACTTGATCTCGGGTTTGATCCAAGGCAATAGCAAGGTACTTTTGCAGTTCCAGAGGCACATTAGATGTAGATTCAGCCCCTGGAGGGAGGCCATCTACATGGGAAAGAACAAGAGGAAAGAATCGAATCAGGTGTGGGTACTGGTTAAGATGTTCCAACTTTGGCTGTATTCCTTTAGGCAAAAGGAAAGAAACTTTGTGACCTTTCTGAGCAAGCTTGTTTGAGAGATGGATGTAGGGGATGAAATGGCCGAAGGCAAACCATGGAAACAAGGCTATGTGAAGTTTGGAGCAGTCGGATTTGCTCATCTTTTGCTTCTACTGTGTGTTGACTGGCTAACAGAAAATGTTATATACCTGCGTTTATCAGCTTTTCAGTGTATTATTAAAAAAAAAAAAATGTTAAGAATAGCCTTGAAATATTTTATATTAAACTTTAAAAATATTTTGTTTGATATTTGATAAATAAAGTAAGTTAATTAATATAATACTTATTTATGATATGATTAATTTTAAATTATGATACATATGAGCAAATAATTTTTTAATAATTATACTAATTAATAAATTAATAATTTAAATATTATTTTAAAAAAATTTAAAATTTAACTACCATATTACATATTTTATTATAATTAAAGCATTGTTTATGATATTATACGTAGGTGAATTTAGGGCAGGGGTCGTGGCTTTCCCAAAAAAAATTTTGATGCCCTTAAAATTATTGTTTTGGCACTGTTTTGATGTTATTATTTTCATTCTTAACCCTTTTCTAATTTAATTTACCATTGATTTGATACTGACTTCGTCTCTGATATTATCTCTAAAAAAATTACCCTTTCACATTTTCAACAACTAAAATTTCCATCAATTATTTTCAGTAATAAAGATGTAGGCGCTATATTTCACAATGTTTGCTATTTTTAATGAAATTTAGGGCTTACGTCCGATTATAATAAAAAAATTATACAAAAATTTATCACTTATAAATATAAATTTTATATAATTTTAAATTATAATTAATTAATTATAATTTAATAATCATAAATGATACACTTTCGGCTAATAGGAAATTAATTAGGACAACCTACGATCAGTTCTAAAACGAAGGAAAAATATTCAAAAGCTAGATTGTTATATCATTTTCAATGCAAAATTTGAAAAATACAAGGGGACATTAGATTGGAGTCGTCAGTGTCCTTTGGCCCAACTCTTCAGCTGGGCATGTGAGTATGTGATTAGGGGTGTAAATAGTACATTAATATTCGCAAGTTACTCGGGTTCGATTCGAAAAAAACTCGAATTCGGTTCGATTATTGTCGAGTCGAGCTCTAGCTCGAGTAGCTCGACTTATCGATCGAGCCGAATTCGAGTATTATTATATCTGACTCGAGTAGCTCGCGAGCCTAATCGAGCTTTTATATTTAAATATATTTTTATTATTTTAATTAATAAAATATTTCGAGTCCGAGTTCGAGTTCGAGCATGAATAATCGAATTCTTGTCGAGTATACGAATCGAGCTTATTTTTACATATTAATCGAGCGAGCTCGAGTAGCTCGAATTCGATCACGAATCGAGTTCGAGCTTGAAAAATAAAACTCGATCGAGCTCGAGCCGAGTATCGAACCCCGAATTGTGAGTCGAGCTCGAGCTCGAGCTTCTCACTACTCGGCTCGGCTCGGCTCGTTTACAGTCTTATATGTGACTATTACTGTTTACTGAAAAAGAAAAAACGAAGTTCACGTTTTGTCTTGTATCATCGACAATTTAGCATAATTTTATTAGAATCTATATTTTTCATGAAAGATGTTACATATTAACTTCATACATAAGTTATCTTTTTATTTTTAGAGAATTTTGTTATTTATTTGATTGTACAACTCCATAAATTGATTTAATTTTTTTTACTTGTAAATTAAAATTTTACAATTATCTAAACAAATATTTAAATAAAAAAATATTTAATTCCAACAATTATCAATTTAGAAAAAGTGAAAAGTTTAATTCATTAAATAAAAAAATGATGAAATCTCTTCTTCTTTCTTATTCAATTATTTTTTTTTGTCTATCTATTTAATATTATTGATTTTTTAAAAGCCTTTATAAGAAAACCTTCAAAAAAAATTACCCATTTTTAATTCTTTAGTCGTCATCCAAATTTTGCTCCTATAAAAAACATTCACCGAATTGTAAATATTTTTTTATCATTTTATTTAAATTTTTATAATTTATTGATAAATATATTCACTAATATATAATTCTTTTTTGCAAAATCCATCATTTAAAAGATATTAAAAAAATTTGATCATAAATTTTGTTAATTTGTGCTGCAAAATTCTCAACCCATTTCAATTCTTTTTTTTTTTTTTTGTGGGTTCATGACAAGTTTTCGCATTTGATTTTAAAAAACTTAATGTTTCAGAGGTTAATAAAATAGGTATGTAAAAATATGTTTTAATATTTTTAATTATTGTTGTTGTTGAACCGCAGCACGTGTAGAAAACTGCCTAGTTACTTATTATAACTTAAAATTTGTCAAATTTAATATGTAATTTACATTTAAAAATGATCAAATTTATGTAATTTTATTATAATTGAATAATTATAAAATTAATAAAAAATTAAGTGAAACAAAATTTCAAACAAACTTTCAATTAATTAAACCAAATAAAAAGAACTCATTCAATATGGCTTTTCTTTTATATTTAGGTTAAATAAGTTTCATAGAGAAGTCATATCTAGAATTTTTAAATTTTATAACCACATTTAGAGATAACTAATTTTGTTGTTATATTAATTTTTTATATCATTTTAATATACCTTACAGGTGTGTTTGTCATTCTACTTTCAAAATAAAGTTTAAAAATTTCACTAAAACTAGATGAAATACTATTTGTAAGGAATTTTTTGTGATTCATGAAAAAAGTTCAGAGAATTTTTTCTTTTATTTTTAATCTTGTTTAAATCATTATGAAATTTTGTTTTTTTAATCGAAACATTAAAAATAATTTAAATGAATATTATAGTTCATATCATATATATTATCTTTTCATTATGGAAATAATTATAAAAAATTGATAATTTGTGATGCTTTGAAAGCGTATAATATTTATAATCGGTACATCAAATATAAGCCTCTTAAATATCAAAATAAAACTTGACGCTAGGAATGGAAAAAGAAGCTGGTCAAGAATTTTTACAAGTCTTGTTCTATATAACTAGGAATACATGGCTACAATCACATACACCTTGGCTTTATTTGAATCATGTCAAAGATTTTTTTTTCTTTTTCTTTTTGCAATTTACACACTATTAGTATTTGACACAAGATCTTGCAAACCTTGGATGAAATTTTTGATATAATCTTCTTGAAGGACTTGATTAGAAAGGATTAGCTTCAGCTTGGCATGATTATCTTTTAATAGACCAGCAATTTGATTGTCCTTGTCCATCACCAACTTGCTGGATTTAGTCAAGTTCTCCTGTTTTCTTGTCTCTCAACTTCAACTGCAACCTTGAATTCCTCTACCATTAATCTGGTGTTCAGCATTGATCTACCAGGTCCAGGATCAATGCAATTTGGCATTCACTGAGCAATGATTCCCACATTGTTCCATAACCACAGTGATTCACAGAACAACCGACTGATGGGTGTCTTGGTATCAATCCTTGTTGAACCCAACCACCATGGACCAACCCTCTTCCTTGAACCCTCTCTTGAAATCCCTCAGGTAATGCTTCTTCAACCGTATTGCATTCCGTGGGTGGTCTTAATGCCAACAGAAATGGTAGCCCAAACAACTCAAATCCAAGAACTAACTCCTGAAACTCATCCTTTTGTAACCTAATCTGGCTTCCAAAAAGGCACAAAACACCATAGAACTTCTCTCAACTTGCTTAGCCAATTAGCCCATTTCTCTTCAAGCTGTAAGCTCTGTGTTTAGGCGAGGCATGTCCTGTTAGTAGAATGGGCTTCCCAAACTATTGAGGATAATAGTCACAAAGAGGTCCCTTAATTTCTCAACAAGTCTCGAAGGCTATGGCCTCACTCTCTTCCATGCTAGTTGCTAGGTGGCTCAGAAATGGCAACAAATCTTCGTTCCTAAGTTTTAGTTTAGCAACCTTGTTGGTTTTACAAAGATAAAGAAAAAAAAAAAAACTCGTACGAATGACCAATGAGAATATGAAATTGAAATGTTGTTCAACTTCTTCATTTAATGCAACTTTCTTAAATACAAAAAACTTTTAACCAAAAACTAGAATGACTACCAGTTATAAGGCATGATCTTACTATTTGCAAGCCATAAACAAAAACTACTAACACACAACTAATTTTGTAAAATTTTGGTCAAACATGGCATATTTAGTTTCACCACTTTTTATGCACATTTCATTCTTCACCACCTATTAGCAGCCCATGTCTACATAATGCAGCTGATAAGGCATTCTTGCAACACTCCTCCTTGCCGCAGTAGCTGCAAAGATCTAGTTTACTTCTTAAAGCTTTAAATCTTGCTTTAGAGAGGGTTTTGGTTAACATATATGCAATTTAATCCTCAGTTCTATAATAAAGCAAACTAACTTCACCTTTTTTTTGCACTTTTCTTAAGAAATATAACTTGATCTTAAAGTGTTTAGTTCTGCCATGAAAAGTAGGATTATTTGATATTAGAATTGTAGCTTGGTTGTCTATATGAATCTGTGCTGGCTCTTTCTCTTCCATGTGCACGTCTGTAAGTATCTTCTTGAGCCAAAGTACTTTATTCACAACTACAGTGGCTGCAACATACTCAGCCTTAGCTGTGTTTTGAGTTATCACTTTTTGCTTCTTTGAGCACCAGAAGAACATTCTTCATCCATAGCTAAAACAAAAACCTGTTATCCTTTTCATGTTATCAACTGAATCGGCCCAATCATTATCAGAATAACTATGGAGTTTAAAATCCTAACAGTAAAAATATTTGATACCATAATTTACTGTGCCTTTAATATATCTGACAATCCTTTTAGTAGCTTAAAAGTGCACTTCATTGGCATAATGCATGAATCGTAAGAGCAAACTCATTGCAAACATAATGTTTAGGTCAGTGGTAAAAAGATACATCAAACAACCAATCAAACTTCTGTATTGATCTTCATCAAGTTTGTTTAATCTATCATCCTTGCTAAATTTCTCCTTCTAATTCATTGGGGTATTTGCACATTTGCAGTCCTTCATATAAAATTTCTTAAGTATTTTTCCAACATATTTCTTTCGGTATATGAAGACTCTATCTTGATTTTGCTTCACATCCATTCTTAAAAAATAAGACA